TGGGAAAAAACCTGAAGATTTTAAACTAATTAGTGGATGGATGATTCCAGTGAACGAAGAGGCCAGACAGGAAGTTGCAGATGGGTTGGAGAAGGAGAGGCACATGCGAGAGGCTTCGATGGGGAGATGTTTAGGACCTAGTGCTAATGGATTTTGGGTGGGATGAGAACTGGAGGGAGAAATACTCTCCCAGGCTTCAGGCTTGCACCTGTGTATATGGCCCAAAGGTGGTGCTGGTTATGACCCGGGACAGCTTTAGCAGATATAAAGTGAGCTTTGAAGTTTTAGAGATTGGGTTTGTGATGTTTGGCAAGACACCTCATGTGTTCTCCTTCTTCACACTTATTGCTTTGCTTTTCCTTTTTTGTTGTTCACAGCTAATTTATGCCTATTTAGCAACCGTCTGGCTTGGTTTGTCCTATCCACTTTCTCTCCCATTAACCCCCAATTAACTGATTAGTCGTCTTGAATTTCAATTTTATTTCATTTCAATATCCTTGCTTGGAAACTTATTGCTACAGGATACTTTAAATCTCTAACCTGACAGTCTGAACTCTGCATGAAACAATCTGTTCTATTATCTTCTCATTTTTGTCTTCGTACTTCCCTACTTTAGTCCTTCGATTTAGCAGTTCCTTGAACATGTATCATTTAGTCAGTGCTAGGAAATGTGTTAGGTGGTGGGAATACAGGGGAATACAGCATGAAGCAAAATTAGATAAATAACAATAAAGCAGCTGGGGGTGGGTTAGCAGTTGTTGATAAGGTATATTTCAGGCAGAGGGGAACAGCATGCGCAAAAGCCATGAGGACAACAGCGGGCATGGAGGACTTCCATTAGTCCTGTGAAAAGCAGGGAGGACTGGCTAGAGATGAGATCAGAACAAGCAGAGCTGGGTCACAGGAGAGCCTGGGAGTGACAAGGGATTTGGCTGAGGGAATCACTAAATGGCTTTTAAGCTGTGGGGTAGCTAGTTTTTCATTCTGCATTTTGGAAAGTTTCTCTAGATGCTGGGTGGGGAATGGATTGGGGAGGAACAAGACAAGAAAGTAGAAGATTAGTTAGATTATCATGTTTTCAAGAACACAGTGACGTTGGTCACTTAGGGAGGTGGCAGAAGATGGAGGTCACGTGGGTTCACTTTTGACTTATCACCTTATGTACCCTGCCTCCCTTTTCTGCCAGTGGATGTACGTCAACCGCTCTTTCCAAATTGCTTGGGTTATATTTCACACCACCAAGTTCAGTAAATACTTGTTGTTTCATCTCTTACTGCTGCCACCTGGTCGATAATAGTTGCCTGGGAAAGAAGCAATGTCATTACTGCTGTGTTGGGTGCCTCCCTTTGTCTTATTAAAAATGAATGGGTGAGGAGAAATTAAACCCCAGAAATGTAGTCTTGTCTGTAATTATTGTATTGTGCTCTTCCTGGGGGTGCCCCAAGCGAACTCACAGACTAAGCGCTTGAGAACAGGGCTGCACCCTCCCATCTTATCCCCAGCACACTGCACAGAGCCTGGACTGCCAGCAGATTTTCCAGTTTTGGAACCGATGAGAAGAGGCTTAGCCTAGGGAGATTGCGCACATACAGTGCATCCATAACAATTGTCTTTGGAGCCACCTGTTTATGTTTGCTCTGAACGCTGCTCTGGAAGCAGGATGGCCAGGTTCACAGCGAAGCTGAATAGGCTTGTGTGAGTCCCGAGTCTCCTGCTTTTAATTTTTATATTCTCTCTGATATAAAGCTCTTGAGACCAGTGTTTTTACTCACTGCTGCTTATTTAAAGGCAAAAAAGTTTTTTATGTTTTTTTCACATCCATTGTTCACCTACTGGGCTTTTTTGTCGTCACTCATAGAGCCAGTAGAGCTTTGGCATCCGACACATCTGGGTTTGCATTCCTCCTGCCCCCTCTCCATGTACTTGCTGTATGACTTTGGTAAATTACTTAGCTTTCAACTCAGTTTCCTTCATCTATAATGTAATGTGTACCTCATGAGGTTGTGAAAATTAAATGAGATTATGAATATAAAGGCACCTTGATTCTTGGTACATAGTAAGTACTCAGGAAATGATTCATAACATTACACGGATACACTGCTTAAAACAGACAATTGTGGGGGAATACGCTGTTCCTATAGAGAGTAAAAAAAGAAATTAGAGGGGAAGCATATTTAGAATTAAGATGACTGACCTATCGATAGTCAAAAACGTTTTTGTTTCAGGAAAATTAATTTCAGATTCAAAATAGGGAATTTGAACTCAGAAATATGAACAGTGGATGTTCAGTTCAGAAAGCGTGCAGGTTGTTTCGTGATGCCAGACAAAAAGGGAAAGAAAGCAGGATCTGTAAAGCGCTTGTTTTTGTATACTTCACATTCTGCGGGTTAGTTTCTTCTCTGAAAGGCGTATTGGATCATTAGCACCACTGGAGTGGCAGGGGAGACAACATCAACTGCTCATCCTGTTCCAGGAGTCAGTTAGGAACCTTTCAAAAGTCTTATTTGAAGCAACTCCAAAATGTCTCATTCAGCGTCATTTCAGTTTGCTT